GTGTCATCTGGGAAGTGTAAAGAAATGATAGGCAAGGAACTCACCCATGAGCAAGTTAACAAGTTGTCGGAAGAGGAGATTAAGAAGTTCCATAAGAGGTACGAGGCCGCCCTTGCAAGTAAGACCACGGACGCCGTAGCAGACTCCGCTATCCGACTTGCCCCCAAGCTTCTTGGACTTGCGCTGCCCATAGACGACGTGGAGCAACTGCGGAAGGACATAAGCGAGGACTATGTTATTGCTCAAGAACTTAAGATAACCTGTGGGTGGTTGTCTTTGAAGTGCGGTAAGTTAATGGCAGTCGCCTCTGCGGCACTTCACGTAGCTCAGCAAGTTGACTTGAAGGAGGTACTAGGTTCCTCTGGAACATCTTGGAAGGACTTTAAGAAGGACAGAGAAGTTGAAAGGGTATTCGAGGCGGCACTTGCTGAGGTACCTGATCAAGTCGCCTCAAGTCCTTCTTAAGTACTTACTTAAGTCATCCTCAAGTACCTAGTTAAGTCATCCCTAAGTACTTGGTCAGGTCGCGCCCAGGTTATTTCCAAGTCGTCCTTAAGTCATTCCAAAGTACTTGTCAAGTCCTTCAAGTCCTTAGTATAAATGAGTGAACCAGAGTCGAAGGCAGAGCAACCTCAGGAGGAGCAACGAATCACCAAGGCTAAATCTCCAGGCAGAGTCGCTGCCGGCAAGAAGCTCGCGGAGATGAACAGGAAGAACAAAGCCAAAAAAGAAGAAAAGGTGGAGGAAAAAGAAGAGGAATCCTTCATTAATCCGGGCTACGTAATTGGCGCGTTGGGAGTTGCTATAGCAGCAGGCAGCCTCTACTTACAATGGCGGGCTACGAAGCCAAAAGCAGAACCCGTGCATGTGGCGCAGGAGCCTAGAAGCAAAATACCAGTAATGGAATAACCTTCTCGCTTTGTAATATAATGTCAACCGCGTTATTGAAAACTGTTGAAGAAGCAGCTATCATTACTTCCATTGTTGCGGGTATTGGTTGGGTAGGTAAGAAAGTGCTCAAAGAAGACTTTACTGAAGACCCAAGCAAGAGCTTCGCTAACTTTGCTAAGATGACCGCTGCCGTGGGCGGGGCTATCATGGTAAAGGATTACCTACGGAAGGAAAAGTACCTCCCTAATGTATAAATGGCTAGTTTAATCGCAGGTGGAGTTATTGCAGCTTTAGCATTCACTGGAGCTAATTATGGTGGTCAATATTTGGATAGATTAGTTAGAGGCGACAAAAGCGGAAATTTGGCCGCCGAAAGGAAGAGACACGACTTAGCGCTGGAGAAATATCAGCGGGACGTGGCGGCTTGAAATGAAAGAAGACAAGCTTACAGGGATTGGTTGGACAAGAACTACCAAGACAA